TTTCCGCCGGGAGGGTTCAATGTGTTGGCGGTTGGGACAAGTCAATCAAATGGTTGACTGCCATCGCGGTCACTAATCCAGTTGACTGCCTATCAGAGTCCTCCATCTCGATGTCTTCTTGGATCGCTTCGAGATAGCGAGAAGGTGCGACCCCATCCACTGGCTCGTCATACACCTGCGTTGGTAGTTCTCCATTCAGCGTCACCGTCGTGTTTCTCGGTACGCTTGACTCAAAGAATACTGCAGTCATGGAGACAATAGCTCTCCCACTGCCTCCGTGACCACTGGGTACCCAAAACCGGTAGGCGCCGCTCTTCTCGTACCCGATGAAAATCGCCTTGATGGTCTTTGCGTCGAGCTTGTGACGCTGTGACTTCGGCAGTAGGACTTCAGCATCACAGCCAAATACTCGAAGCCTGCTCAGCACTGGGGCGCCGCCAGTCACCGCTTCGAACGGAGTCTTGCCACCAAGTACCTTCGTTGGGCAGCGGTTCCGGATGTATGCAGCCGTCAGCACCGCGTCACTCCAGAAGCGTTTCCCCAAACCGGCAGCCTGCATCATCGCTCGCGCCATTTCAACGACGACTCGGTTACTGCGCTCAACCTTGCCGTTCTGTTGTGGTGTGTATGGCGTGCTGAACTCCTGTGCAATCATGTTTTCATTGCAGAAGTCAGCGATTTCTCCTCCCACGTATTCTGCCGCATTGTCGCTTTTCAACACCGCCACTCTTGCACTCGGGATCACCACCTTGAGGTTAGCGATGCACTCGCGTAGCGCGCTCAGCTGGGTGGCCGAGCTCTTGTCCTTGACAGGGAAAACTGAGGCGAGATGATATGGCTCGATCATCATGCTCACCATGCCTGTGTAACCGTCCCGTGACGTGGTTTCCATTGGCCCCACATAATCGATAGCGATCACCACCTGCCCGCGCTTGAGCTTTCGCGGCTTCTTTTCCGGAAATGACACACTGGCCAGTTTCCCAGCTGCACAGGACCCACAAGGGAGCAGCTGTGAGCTTCGGGTTGTCACATCACCGGCTTTCAGCAACGCCTTCAAGTCCCGAGCATTCAAGTGGCCCAATCTGGCGTGCCAGGTAGCTAAGTCGTCCAATTGGTCTCCAGACGCGTATTCCACCTCAGCACAATTGCCTGTGCTGAGGGCCGATACAACATACAGCCCACTGGTGCGACGTGTAGCAAGTAGCTTATCGTGACCGCTGGTGATGACACAATGCTCACGATTGAAGATTGCCGTAAGGCCAGCTGCCCCGACCTTGCTCAAGCTCACAAGATTGCGCTTGAGGCCTGGGACGTACAGCACGTTGTCCAGTGTGCAGGTGCCGCCAGAGACGAGAGGTAGGTGAGCCGTTCCGCGATGCGTAGCGCTCAGCTTCATGCCACTCGCAGTCGTAACCACGATGTCATTGTCCATCTTGTTCAGGCCATTGAGCAGACCACGCGATCCCGTCATGTGACTCGAAGCTCCTGAGTCAATGATCCAGTCAGCTCCCACCGACTCTGCACTCGAGCTGACTTGGAAGGAAAAACCGCTTTCCTCACCTTCATCGTCGTCTTGTCCAGACGTAGCCACGTGGGGGCAAAAGGGGGGCCCAAGAACACACACTTGTGTCTGGGGCTCTGGACCTCTCTTCTGTGAAGAGGACGCTATTCCCGCCGTTGAAGCACTTGCCCTTCTTCGCGGCTGGCTTTCCGTGCGTAGCAGCAGCAAATGCATTACCACCTCGCACAGCCTGCGTTCCACCACGCTTTCCGCGTTGCGTCTGCGTCGTGCGGCGCTGGCTTCGGTAGCGGCTTTGATCAGCATTTCTTCCATCGAGGCACACGAATCCAGCGATACAATGTAGCCATTCCAGTCAGGTCCAAGGCTCTGCAGGAAGTTGCTCTTCTTTTCCGCGTCCGTCAGAACTACCTTGTAGCACTCCAGCTCAGCAAGCATCAGGCGCGTCTGGCGGACGTGCTCCAGCATGTCGCCACCAACGTCGACATAAAGCGACATGTACTCTCGTTGAGAGCCCCAACGGTTGTGTCACACACGTGACGATGCGTCTTCTGCAGCGCCCCCAGCATGGCCTTCGGGTGCTGAAGATCAGCCACCAACGCAGCTTGATCATCCGTCAGCGCTGCCAGAATGATGGTCATGGCCAGCTTCTGCTGCATCTCCAGTTGGTGCAGCGGTCGCTCTTGCTGCCGTAACGGCCGATCGGCTTGGCCGGACTCTTCGTTCTCGAGCTGGAGCAACGTCGGTGCGGGCTTCAGCACCGCGCTCCATACGTCCTTCACCTCCAAATAAAGTTGGAGTTGCCGCGCCCAGACTCGGTAGCCCGGTCCGTCGATCTTGCGAAGCTTGGTCGTGAACGCGGTCGTGGTGTTGGCACTCATAACCTGTCGAGTTGGTAGCAGGTCGAACGCCGCACGGTGAGGGCGAATCAGAGCTCTAGCGTTATGAGGATTCCACCGGCTCCGCCGCCATGGTGTTTGCCGCTCAGCTGTTTGT